GTTGCAGGCCAGGTCCCCAGAAGAGGGCGCATGAGAGGCAACCACACGTTGATGTTTCTCTCCTCCCTCCCTTCCCCTGTCTAAAAAAATATATATTTTTAAAACAATAACAAATGACAGCTTACATGTTTGTACATACTGGCGACAGGACTGCCAGCTCCTGTGAGGTACTCTTGGGTGCTAGCTGAAGAAGACTGAGAGCCCACAGTGAAGCCAACTGGGCCACACACCACCCTCAGAGACAGAGCATGGGTAGAGCCCAGCGTGCAAACCCAAGGCCTTCCTTATACACCCTGGGACCTCTGATCCATCAACCAAGACGTTCCAAGACATTCCTCTGTCCATTCACAGTTCCTCTGTGAAGTCTGATCCCCTTGCTAGTCCCACCTGCCCCCGTCCTTGGCCCACACTGGGCTCCCCTAGGCTCTCCTGCCCATTCGCAGATCCAGCACAGTCTCAAGCAGGTCTGCCCTGAGGTCAGGGACACTGGCCCAGGTCTCTCCGCCTCCCCACTCTCTCACCAAACCCTACTTGTTCCTCTCAATCTTCTTCTCACTCTTCTTTCCCACCCAAGGGGCAGCTGAGACCTCTCATTGCCCCACCCGGCACTATATGAACATCCATAGGCTCAATCCTTTTACAGGGACAGAGGCATTGTTACTGCCAAAAATGTGTCACCAAGGAGACAAAGGGAAACAGGGGAGGAGCTTTCCCCATAGTCTCTCACTGAGTCTGGCATCATGGCCATGGGCCCCCCCGCCAAGCTCCAGGTGGAACTATAGAAATGGTCTACCCTCCGACCCCCACCCCACCCCACCCCGACCCTCATCAGACCAAAGTGCTGCCTGGATCAGCTCTGCCCACGACACCCTGATGGCTCAGCATGCAGAGCCCTGGGGCCACCAGCCGCTCCTGCCACTGCTGGCATCTCCTCCTCTTCCGCCCCCTGGATGGTACGATGGTAAAACTTGGGACTCTATGGCCACTGCAGCTGCTGCCACAGCCCTCCTTCCCTCTGGGGATGGAGTTCCCAAGGCCGCGAGGAATGAGCTGGCACCTGCCCCAGCCGCCCCGCCCCAGCCTCCCACCCCTATTCTCTCACACACGTGCACAAAGACCCCCCTTTCACCCAGAGGCACCATGCATTTATACCCACACATTTGTGCCATCGCCTACACACAGACACACACGCACACACAAAGCCGTAAAATCCCACACACCCACATATCCGTGTATACACACACACATAGGTGCAGGCTCATGGTCAAACTCACCCCACACTGATCAAATCACACACACACACCATGTCATGCCATGACCACAGGTAGCTCACCCAGCACTTCCTTTCTGTCAGGCACGGTTTGGAGTGCTCTGTGTAAATCACCCTGCTTAGTCCCTTAAACCGCGCTTCCTGTACTGTCTGTGGTGAAAGACCAGGCCTGCCTTGGAGGAGTGGGGTTATTTTTAGTGCCCACCCTTTTGCAGATCCAGGCAGATTCAGGCAAGAAAGGAAGTCAAGGAACAGAAGGGCCAGGGTGTCAGTAGCAGCATCCCATGTAGTTATCGGAAGCGTTAAGGGTCATGCTGGAGAGGTTGGAGGGTGTGACAAGAAGCCAGGAGCTAAAATAGTCATGGCATGAGGGGTCCTGGGCCACAGGGAGGAGGTCTGAAGAGGATGCAACAAGGAGGGTGCGGGGAGGTCTGCCCAAAGGCCTGGGATTCAAGCAGGGAGAGCATAACAGACCTTACCTGGCAAGACCTTCGTGAGGGTTAAATAGTGAACAGGGGCCAGCATGCGGGGTCCTGGCAGAGGCCCAGGGAGGCTGGCACCCACAGGGGCTTGGTGTTCCTCCCTGTGGGGATGGGAAACAAGGGGATGAAGGTTGAGCTAGACCCTCTGTCCGTGGAGCCGCTCTGCCCCCTGGGGGCTGGTGCTGGTAACAGGTCGGAGCCGAGCCCCTTAGAGGAAGCTTGGTACCCTGGGGCTGGCGGGGAGTGGTGAAGATTTGACTCTGCCCGCTGCTCCCCACCCCAGGTGAGGCCCAGGCCAGTGTGGGGAACTAGAGGTACAGTGACAGGGCAGGAAGCAGAGAGAGTTGAACCAAAGGTTGTCCCCTCTTCAGACTTCCCATTCCTGACATTAACAATATTGTGTCTCCGGCCAGGCATTTGGCCCCAGGATTTTTCTATAGTAAGAACTCAGAGGCCGCCAATCTAGTCGAAATGAGGGACTAAGGAATTTTTCTGGAGGTTGGAGTTACCTAGCCAGTGTGCTATTTGTCTTTAGGTTGGGAGTTTATTGGGGGGCGGCCTGGGGAAGGGGCGCTGCCACCACACACTTTATCACTGAATGCTCACAACCACCCAGAGATAGTTATTTCCGGGTGTTAGTGCTGTGAAGTGCTTATCAACCCACTCCCCGAGTGTAGCTCACAAACGCTGGTTGACATTTTCATTTAGGCTAAGGAGTAAAAGTGGAACAATGGAAGTGTCTGTTGGAACTTAACTCATTCCTCAACGACATGAGTCACTTCTTTACTGAATCAGATAATAGTTTCGAATACTGGAAGGGTGTTTCCTCAATACTGGAAGGGTGTTTCCTCAATTTTGTGTGCTATTCTCCGTATCACAGTTTTAAACTTAATCTCCATTAACGTGTTATCCATCACTTTCTTGGGTCTGGACAATCAACAAAATGATAAGTAAGTGAAACCTTTATTTGCAGTAACTGCCATTTTCCATGGTGTAAATACTCCCACCAAGACCGTTTTCCAACTACCAACATGAGTCACCAACCGCCGACTTGGGAAAAGATGCTCAGTAACACATCATTACAAAGTTTTTCCAAAATTCAGGTATACTAGATGTAAACAATAAATAATCTAAAGCATAGATAACAGCAACACGGTTACCTAATTAGGAACTGACTAATGTTGAGTCTTTGTTTTTAATACAACTTATGCTTTTGTAAGTTGATATAATTTCATTTTTAACGATTGCATTTAACAACTGGTTCACAAAATTCCTGAAAATACAACAACCGGCTCTTGGCAGCCAGTGTGAACTGGCTCCCGCACACCCTTGGGCTGGTAACCCATTTCACAATGGAAACTGAGGCTCACGGAGATGCGGGGCCTTAAGTGCTCAAGGTCAAGCTGAATGTGGCCTGGTTGGAGAAATGCCCAGGTATGTTTTACTCTCAAACTGAGTTCTTTTGGCTCTTTCCTGGATTTCCAAACTCCCTTCGCAGAAAGGCCTGGCACCTCCTCTCCCCACATCTTTTCTGTGACTTCAGAGCCACGTACAGAATTTCCTCTTCCTCCTCCTCTTTCTACAAAACCAGCCCTGAGGCTAGACCCTTCCTCACACTATTCCAGGGACACGAAACCCTGGAATGAGCCTCTGAAGCCAAAGAAGGAGCCCCTTTGTCCTGGGGACAGTGAGAGGCCCCAGCCCAGCCAGCACACACTGAAGCGACCTACCCGATATGCCCATCGTGGATCACTCCTCTCGATCGCTGCAACGAATGGTAGAAAGACCTATGGAGCCCTGCAAGGCTGTGTCAGAACCTCTCTGATAAACTTGGGGCCTTGGGCAAGTCTGAATAAAACCAGGTTTATAATCCCTACCCTCAGGATTGCTCTGACAATTATCTAAACACTGCCTGACTTCTCTCCCAATTTCCTTAAATGGTGGGATTCGGTGGAAGCCAGGGAGCCTCACGCTTGCCGCTGATGCCTGAAATCCCACCACAACGGGCCTCACCTTGGGTTTCCTCTTCCATTTCTTTTGGAGAAAGAGCTAAGAAACCCCAGAAGCTCTCAGGAGCAAGCCTGGGCAGCCTTCCTCCCTGACCGAGGCCCTGGGCTCTTCCCATCTTCCCTCCCTTCCTCCTCTAGGCGAGAAGGAGCTGTGGCCCGACCCGCCTGGCATGAGGTCCACAGCCAGAGGCCTTTGTTTGGGTCTTCCCTTTAAGGAGTCTTAATCCCCCCAGAAGGGAAATCCCAACGCCCTGCTCCCCCACATTACCTGCATGCCCTCTATGTCATCCCGGGAGGCTCACAGTTTACTGTGACAGCTCTTAACATGTCTGTCCCTGAGCAGTCCCAGCGCCCCTCCCAGCTGCCCGTAGTGACCACTAACCCTGCGCCAGGGGCCAGCTGACGGGAGACTGTCAGCAGCCTCGACCTTCATCCTGGCTCTGTCCCTATCTCCCCCTGTGGTGAAGGCAAGTTGCTTCCCCTCTCTGAGCCTCATTCATGCATCCAACAGACATCTCTTGAGTGCGTTCTCATGCCGGGCCCTGTGCCAGGCCCTGGGGTCACACCTTGGAGCAGGAGAGGTGAAGTTTCTGCTTTCCTGAACTCTACAATGCTTATTTGAGCAAGTAAATGAAATAATGGCAAATCGCCCAAAGTGCTGGGAAAGAATCCAGTGGGTCTCGGTGGTGCAGTCTGGGACAGTGGCGGACTCTAGACAGAGTGGCAGGGAAGGCTTCTCTGGAGAGGAGAATTTGAGCAGAGAGCTAAAGGATGAGCAGGCGGCAGCCACATGAGAGTCTGAGGAAGCACAAATGCAGAAGGCCCTTCCGCTCCTTCCCTTGGAAGGGGCACGGGCTGGGGGTTCTTCAAACGCTGCTCTGCGCAGCCCTGAGGTCCAGGTACGCAGGGTATCTTCCGCAGGACTCAAGGGTGTCACCGCCCCCCGAATAGTTCTGCTTTTAACTGTTTTAAAGATCAAATTGTTGTCTGAGACAAAAGTACTTAGCTGACCGATCGACATTTAGAAACCGCTAGAAACTCATGTCACTTGTGACCCCGTGGATAACAAACATTTCGCAAACCAGCAGTGGCCCCAGAATCACACTTGGAGTAGCTCTGCCCTACCCCATTTTGTCAACTACTCGGTTTCTCTATTAGACATCCCTGTCGCCATACATTCCAAACCTAGGTTGGAAAACTGGATGGTGAGGCAGGGGATGCTCCGGACAGAGCCTGGGGTCACTGGGTCTTGAACACGGGCTTGCGCACTAGCCGCAGCACCCGGTACGTGTTAAGGCCCGGCACATCAAAGCCCGGAGACAGCCCGTGGCGGTCCAGGGGGTAGAAGTTGACGAGCTGCCCGTGCTGGGCCTCCAGGGAGAGCCAGGTGTCCCCGAGTGGCAGCGCGCACGGGAACTCGCGGGCCACGTGCAGCTGGAAGACGCGGCCACGCAGGTGGCGCAGCGCCAACGTGCGGAACGCCGCGGGGACCAGCGCCTCGACACGGGGTCCAAACTGGCGCAGGCGCAGCTCGCCAGCAGGTCCCGCACGCACCTCGTAGAAGGTCTGGTTGGCGAAGGTGAAGTAGCCCGTGAAAGGGCGCACGCTGGGTGGCGGGGCTGGGCTGTGCTCGGCCTCCCGGAGGACTTTCTCCATGGCCGGCAGGAGCACGTCGTAGGCCTGCGCCACCAGGTCGGGCCCAGGTGGCCGCGGCCCGGCCAGCAGCAGCACCAGGCCCAGGCGCAGCGGTGGCACCAGGGAGAAGGTGGCGGCGTAGCCGTCCAAGTCGCCGTCCTTTCGGACCACGCGGTAGCCCCTTTGAGAATGGAATTCCCAAGGGGTGCCAGTCTCATTGGCGAAGTAGGCGCCTGGGCAGGCCAGCAGCGGCACCAGCAGTGTCTTGGACGCCTCGGGCCCAAGGATCCGCTGGGGCCCGCTGCCCAGGAGCGCCATGGCCAGCTTGGCTAGGTCGGCAGGGGTGGAGTACATTTGGCCTGACGGGCGGTACCAACCCAGGTCGTAGAGCGGTGCCGGCCGGCCACTGCCGTAGAAGCCAGCCGCCAAGCGGGCGCAGACAGGAGGGGTGAGGTCGAAGCCGGTGTCTGCCATCCCCAGCGGCTCCAGCACGTTCTCCAAGATCCAGCGCTGGTAGTCACCCTGAGCCGTGTGGGCTGCCAGGACATGGGCCAGAAGCGAGAAGGCCAGGGTGCTGTAATGGCACCTGGAACAGGAGAGGTAGAAACCGGATGCAGCCGAGGATGAACATCTCCAGACCCTCAACAGCCCCTTCCCACCTGCTCAGACTGTCAGAACTGCCACCAGAGTTTCACTGGACTGGGTCAGTGGGCGAAGGAACCTGCTTCGCTGCATCCCAGGTGGTCAGACCCAGCAGAAGGATCATTAATTCTACATCCGGAAGGAGGAAGGCCCAGAGAGGGGCAAAAACTTGCCCCGGGTCTCACAGCAGGTAGGGAGAAAATGGGGCTGGGCAATGTACCTGGTAAAACAAATCTTGTTGGTCCTTCACACTCTAGTATGATTTATTTTAGCAAATGCAAAACTAGAGTCTGAGACTGTTCTGGGGGAAGGGGAGAATTACAGCCATCATGTAGCTCAAGGATAAGAAACTGGAGGCAGGATTCACACCTCCCTTCTCCCTGGCCTTGGCATACACCAATCATCGATAAGACATCTCTCTGCTTTTCCGCAGGAGGAGCAATTCCAGCATCCACAAATCCTTTTAGACATCCCTGAGCTCCAGTGCGACCTCTCTGTTTTACAGACAAGGACAGGGAGGTTCCAAGAGGCCAAGTGCCTCCTCCAAGGTCACACGCCAGGTTAGTGGCAGAGCCGAAGGCAGGACCGCAGCGCACAGGCGCCTAATTATTACCAGGGCCCTTTCTTCCCCAGGGAAGGGGGGCCTGAGGTTCAGCAGTCGGAGAAGCAGAGGGGCCAATTTGAAAAAGGGGCATCTCCTCTCCCCACCCCCCCAAAAAGGGCCTACAGGCCTGGCAGGGTGCCTCCGAGGCAGGGGGGTGCCAGCTGTCCTCTGTCCGGCCCCTCTGCTCCCGCAGCTGGGCTTCTCTTCAGTGGCCACCCAGCTCTGCGCTGCCTGTCTCATCAGTATCCCATTTATTTCCATGATGGACTTTACAGAATCTGTATTTATCTTGCTCATCTGTTCGCTGATGAGAATGCTCACTGGTGACTCACACGAACACAAGCTCTATGAGGAGGGACCGGGTTGGATTTGTTTGCTGCTGGGTTTCATTTTAGCACATTCGGGGGCACAGAGTAGGTGCTTGATGAATGTTGCGTTGATTGGAAAGAACTCGAAGTTCAAACAGAACCCGCCTTGCTGTACCACCCCTCTCTGGGCCTCAGTCTTTCCATCTGTGGAATAGGGGTTGTATTCAGTGACCCCCGGGGTCTCTTCTGGCTCTGACCCCCCAGGATGAGGTGATGCAGTCTCTATCCCAGGGCAGATGTGTCTCTTGTGATTGGCAGAGCACCCGGGTGCACTCCTCACCTGGTTCCCGGGTCCGCTACCAGCACGTCATCCTTGAGCAGGCTCAGGGCATCCTGGGTGCTGCCCCTCCACAGCAGCGAAGTGGATCGGAGCCTTCTGGGCAGCCCTGGGGAGGAGCAGTGGTCAGGCCTGCGGGGCCCGCCGAGTGTGGGATGATGGGCCTTTCGGTGCACTGCCCCCCACCTTCCGTCGGTTGAAAGATGACAACAAAACCATCTAAAAAATAGTCTAGGGTGGACTCTAACCTTGTTTGTGTTTCACTGGGCAAGCCACTTAACCTCTCAAGCCCCAGTCCCCTCCTCCATACCGTGAGTGAAATAATTCCCCTATCATAGGGATGATGCGAGGATTAGGTGAAATAAAAAAAGCTTAGCGTAGTGCTTGGTCATGGTAACTGCTCAAAAAATAGTTACCGTCAACTGTAGGAGTTTGATTCCATACAGTTCTTGACATCAGTGGTCAAACAGCTTTATGGACTGGCTCTACTAACCACTGGACTTTTCTGTGTATTAGATGTTACTAGTATTGGAAGGATCACAGGATTGGGTTCTTTCCATCCATCCACTCAACAATAGATTTCAAGCCTCTGGTTCCAAGGACTGTTCTGGGTACCAGAGATTCAATAGTGAACAAAGTCGCTGCCCATGTGGAGTTTACATTCTAGCAGAGGGGACAGACAACAAGCAAATAAATATTTATGCTATGGAGAAAAACAGTTTGGTCAGAGGAAGACTTTGCAGAGGTGACCCTTGAGAAGGTGAGACCTGGAGAAGGCAGAGGGAACAGCAAGGGCAAAGGTCCTGAGGCAGAGATGTCTTGGCATGTTTGAGGAATAGCATGGAACAGCCAGTGTGGCTGGAGAGGAGCAAGAGTCGGGGAGACTTTGGAGGTGAGAGATATTGCAGGTGTGGGTACCAGATCCTAGAGGGTACTACAGGCTACCGGAAGGACTTGGCTTCTTCCCTGGGTGGGATAGGCCGCTGCAGGGGTCTTGAGCAGAGGAGTGATGTAATCTGACACCTATTTTATCAAGCTTGCTCTGGCTGCTGTGTGAACACAGACATCTGGGGGCAATGGCAGAAGCAGGGAAGCCTGTTGGCACACTTGCAAAATTCCATGTTTAAATGATGACGGTTTAGACGAGGGTGCTAGCAGTGGAGGTGGTGAGGAGTGGATGGGTTCTGGACATATCCTGAGAGAGGATCCAGCAGAATTTGCTATTAGAGAGGGTGTGGAGGATGTGGGAGAGAGAGCTATGAGGATGACTTCAAGACTTGGCCTGAGCAACTGGGGGATGGAGGCCCAAGCTCTGGATCTAAGTTCTGACTATAGGACTTTTTGCTGTGTGACCTCAGACCATGTGCTTTACCTCTCTGAGCCTCTGTTTGCTCATCTTTAAGTGGGCTGAAGCACCTGCGGTGGTTTTCCTATGAGATGCTGCAAGACTTAATAAAGAGAATGGATGAAAAGCTCCAAAAATGGGAGAAAGCTCTAGATTAGGATGGGGGTCAATCATAAAAGACATTGAGAGCCTAGAACGGAGTTATTCAAGCTGCTATATGCTCATCTGGCCCCTTTGGGCTAAGAGGAGACATGACCAAACACTTAGAGCCCTGGGCTGGGTTCCTTGCGTGTAATTGAAGAACAATCCACAACACACCCCTAGAGGGAGCCCTGGAGTCAGATTAAAACAGGTCTGAACTCACTTTGCAAATTGATAAAACTGTGGGCACTTGTGAAGAATTCCCACCCTTTGGTGTGATAGATTGATGACTGCAAATATGAGCAATAAAAGGCATTTGGGGGTGAAGCGCATGGTGCCTGCCTTCTCCCCCTTGGCTGGGTCATTCACCCCTTCTTTAAACCGACCCTCCTCAGTCACAGGTGGCAGATGGACATATAGGCCAATGGAGGGTCCTGCAGAAGCTTCCAGGGCTACCCCTCAGCATCCAGCCCGTCCTGATCCGGTGCTGCCCAGTACCCCAGCCTGCTCCTGCCCTTCCATCATGTCAATTTCATAGTGGCTTATTGCATCACCACTATTATTATTATCATCATATAATTTATTTTTAATAAGTAATCATTTACATTATTCAAAATTCAAAAGACACCAAAGGGTACATGAGGAAAATTTTTTCTCCTACGCTCTCCCCAACCACCCAATTCCCCAGCCACCCAATTCCGCTCCCAGGGTGCAACCCAGTATATCAATCTCTTTAGTTCCCTTCCAAAGGTATTGATACACACACACACACACACACACGTATGTGTGTGGTATATCTACATTACACCTGTGTTATGCATATACATATATGCATTATATGTGTATGTATTATTTATACATATGGTAGCATACAACATATGGTATGAGCTTTTTTCCCACTTAACATTGTATATTATTCTATCTCAATACATAACACCTTTTTTTAAGGCTACAGAGCATTTGACTGTTTAGCTATGTCATATTTTATTAATTCATTCCCCTATTTATAGATATTTAGGTGGTTTCAATCTTTTGCTCTTACAGTGCTGTAGTGAATAATGATATACATACCTCCTTACTACATGTGTGAATACACCTGTAAGAGAATTCCCTAGAAGTGTAGTTTCTAGGTCCAAGGATATATACATTTTTAATTGTGATAGATATTACCAAGTGCCCTCCCTACAGGGTGCACCAACTTAAATCCCCACCACTAGTGTATGAGAGGGCCCATTTCATCATAAGCCTACCAGCTCAGCACACCTGGCATTTGGGTCTTTGCCAACTTGAAAGGGGGAAAATGCCTCTCAGTAGTTTTAATTTGCATTTATTTTGTTATGAATGAAGTTGAGCATCTTTTAATTTTTTAAATATTTTTAAGAGCCATTTGTAGTTCCTTTTCTGTGACCTGCCTATTCTGTTCCCATCCTTTACCCATTTTTCTGCTGGGCTGTTGGTCTCCATATTGATTTGTAGGTGATCTTTATATATTAAGGGAAATTAGGTCTTCATTAGAGAATTGTCTACAAATATTGACTTGTTCTTTACCTAATAAGCAGATCTTGACATGTCAACTTGCTTTTGGCCTACCAACTGATCTTGATTTGTCCACTTGATCTGAGGTCCCAAGCATCACCTCAGCTTTTACCTCACTAGATCTTTCCACCCCTAGCCTGCTGCCCAGGGAGGGAAAGAGGGAGCTACAGCCAGTTCAGAAAGCAGTGCAGAGGATGGTCCCAGCCTGGCTGGATGAGAGTCTGCTCCTCAGTTCCCCCACCTGAAATGTTTGGGGCCAACCAAGATAAGTTCAGAACCACTCACCTGAGAGCTGGCTGGCCATCCTTCGGAGGGTGACGGGCGAAGGCCTTGGGGCTGGGCCCATCTCCTCCAGCCCATCCATCAGGCTCTCTCGCCGGGGAGCTGATGCCACGCCCAGCGGGTTGTTGATGGTGAAGGTGCTGGCGTACCGCTCCAGGGGGTCATCTAGAGAGGCTACGGTGCCCTCCTCCCACAGGCGGTACAGCATGAGGACTGGAAAGATCTTGGAGACACTGGAGATCCTGGGCAGTGTTGGGGGCACAGGGGACAGCCTGTTGGCCCACAACCCATCTCAACCCTGCACCCCAGCCTCCAACTTTCTAGCGTTCTAGGAAAGCTCTGACTCCACCTTATTCAGTGGCTCACACGGAAGTTCACCAGCCTCTGTAGAACTGGATTTGGGCTGCTTGAGAATATACCAGAGGCAGTGGGGCTGGGTTGGATGGATACTCTTGAGCATCTGCCTCATGGCAGCCCCCTCCCAGGGCCTTCCCACTGTGGCACAGGCCTCTGGGAGGTCATGCCTCTGCCTCTCGCTGGCTGAGTGGCCTTAGGCAAGTACCAGACTTTCTGAGATTCAGTTTCCTTGTCCATGTCACAGGTTGTAAAAAGGATCTGACTAGATTGTGCACATCAAGTATTTGACAACATACCTGGCAGGTAACGAGTGCTCAGTAAGTGACCGAAAGTATGCTTGTTGTCCCTGTGCTTGGCCCCAATGTGAATGGCGCAGTGTGAGGTGTGAACGGAACTGCTGTAATCCTCACAGTTTCTCTGGCAGCCAGTGTGCTCACTGTGCACTATGAGCTTTAAGGAGCCTGCAGGCAAAACCTAGGAGGGGGGACTCTGGGTGTGCAGCAGAGTGTCCCCCACTGGCTTCCATCTGGGCGGCTGCTGCCAGGTGGCAGGGACCTGGGGCAAGAGCCCAGCACTGGTTATGGTTCCACTGTGGCACATGGAGGTGAAGGAGGGACGAGACACAAGGGAGCCTCTTCTAGTCAGGGAGGTTTGGGGCTCAGAGCTCTCCAGAAGGGATTCCTTCCTAACCTGTTACCCCTGTGGTGTGATGTTGGGCACTCACGGGTCCTTCTGGACCTCAGTCTCCTCATCATTAAGTTGTCAGGACTTAGCCCTGGCTGGTGTGGCTCAGTGGATTGAGTGCCAGCCTGCAAACCAAAGGGTCGCTGGTGCGATTCCCAGTCAGGGCACATGCTCGGGAAGCAGGCCAGGTCCCCAGAAGGGGCGTGAGAGGCAACCACACATTGTTTCTCTTCCTCTCTTCCTCTCTCTCTAAAAATAAGTAAATAAAATTTTTAGCCCTGACTGGTGTGGCTCAGTGGATTGAGTGCCGGCCTGTGAACCAAAGGGTTACCAGTTTGATTCCCAGTCAGGGCACATGCCTGGGTTGCAGGCCAGGTCCCCAGGATGGGGCACATGAGAGGCAACCACACACTGATGTTTCTCTCCCTCTCTCCCTCCCTTCCCCTCTCTCTAAAAATAAATAAATAAAGTATTTTTTAAATAAATAAATAAAATAAAATATTTTTTAAAAATTGTCAGAACTTAATAAAGGTCCCTGACAGCTTGGACACCCCTCCCCATTCATGACTCTCTTGAGTCCCCCTCACTCCTAAGTCCCTCCATCCTCCCATCCTTCACCCTCTCCCCAGGACCCTGGAGGTCGCCCAGCTGACCGGTACATGGTGGACTCATCGGGGGGCCCAGAAGCCGGGTCTGAGCCATTCTTCTTCCCGAAGTTCCCAGTCCAGAGCACGGTGTCATTGTGGATGACAACTGCAGATATGGCGGCCAGCCCTGGGGCAGACAGAGCCCCACGCAGGATCCCGTCCACCTGGGAGGGGAAGAGCAGGAGGCTCAGAGTGTGGGTGCAGAGACACGCCCACCTATCACCTGCACACCGGCCCCTTCCCACACCACACCCTGCACACAGACCCCCTGCCTGGCTCCTCTCCGTTTTCCCCTCACCCCGTTGCTGGAGGGGAGCCCAGGGAGCCTGCAGACCTTGGGGTCTCAAACAACGCCCATGGAGCAGGCCCCAACCTGGCCGCAACCAGAGCAGCCCCCTTAGAATCTGTTCTATATGTGGGGCTTCCTCATGAGATTTTTTTTCACAAAAACATTTCCTTGGCAAAACATAAAAGAAAGAAGGAGACAAAAGTACTGATCTAGTCAAATCCTTCCTTGTCTGATGCCCTAGAAACCTGCCGATAGGCCTAGTCTGATGCCCTAGTGTTAGAGAATTCACTATTTCTGGAAGGCCCCTAAGTTCTCTTTGAACATTTATTGAAAATACCTCATTCTTTTCAAAGATGAAGTGTCATGGTAGTGGCAACAGCTAACATATCCTGGCATTTAGAATGTGCCACGTACGGTATAAAGTGATTTTCCTATATTGTCTCATTTAATCCTCATAAGTCAGTGCTAATTTCTCCCCATTTTACAGATGAGAAAACCGAGTCCATGAGACATACGCAGTGACTTGTCCAAGTGACTAATGGCTAACGGAACTAGTGTTAGAACCCCATGCTAACTCCAGTCCCCATTCTTAATGGACTGCCAGACCTTCTTGCCAAATGATTTTACATGTCCTGGGTTGAGTTCTGTCCACCTGTAGCTTCTGCCCTGCACTAACTTTGCCTGTCTGAAGCTCAGTTTGTTCCTCTATAGATAGCGAGTCACAAGGTATTCACACAGAGGTTAGCACATACCAGGTGCCAACCAAAAGGCAGCCACGGCTATTATTGTCGCTTTTTCTTTCCTTCCTATGACCCCTAATCCCCTCCACCGGGGAGCCACATGGCACCCTTCTGTGCCCTTTCCCTCACAAAAGCTTTTCCTGCATTTGCAGACAGCGGCTGTGCCACTCTGCACTGGCCTACGCTTCTCTTATGTCAAAGCATCAATTTCCTTCCCTTTAGCTGCTCCTTGGGTGACAGTGGCAAATCCCCCCGCCACACTGCTGCTCATACACTTCTGACCATGTCTCATCGGTTTGTCTCCTAAGGTGAGTGACCCCAGGGGGTGGGGCCTGGCACAGACCAGAGCTAGCTGACAGCCCCCTCTGCTGTTAGGCCGTCCTCAGTGGTAAACGTTATGTTGTGGGCCATGTGCGTTTAATTATTTTGCAGTGGCCTCTGTGTTATATGCTGTCATCCTCTCCAATCTCCTCTTTCTCCTCCCTCTGCCCGTGGCCCCAACAGACTGAATTTCCTCATAGTTCTCTGTACGTGCCTTGCACCTACTCTGCTGACTCTGGGCCTCGGACCACACCACGCTGTTCCCTGTATCCTGAGCACACCCTTCACTAACCACCCCGCCCCTTACTATTCACATGCACATCACCTGGGTATCTCCTGCTGTTCACCCTCAGCTTAGACACCACTTCCTCCAGAAGCCTTCCCTGACCCCAAGGTCAGCTCCTTTGTGCCCCGCAGCCCCCTAAACTTTCTCTGTCCTCACTCTTACCCCTGTGTTATACGTGTTTAGTGTCTTGAGTGTTCCCTCACTTCCAGACTAGTAACTTCTTCTTAAGAACAGGGCAGTATCTTGTTGTCCTGTCCCTGGTGTCTAGCATAGAGTAGGTAAGTGCTCAAAAATTACATGATGAATTAATGAATGTTGCTCCCAGCGCAGAGAGTATACCCCCGTCTCTATCACTCAGGCCAAACACACCCACTCCTGGGTCATCACTGACCTTTTCCAGGGCCTCCTTCAACACAGGGAGTGGGTGGGCCAGAGGCACAGGCTCAGGGTGCTGGGGACACATCCTCACGGGGGCAGAGGTTGCTTCTGGTCCTAGGGAACCTGGAGGGGACAGCACATGGTGAGAAGGGGACAGAGATCAGGACAGGAGTCTAGGAGTCACCCTAGAGGAGGTGGGGAGGTGGGAAGGTGGCCAGAGCCATACCTTAGGACCAACCCTCCCAGCTGGCAATAGCCTCACCAGGAGATACCAGGGTGCAGAGACCAGCCATGGGTATCAAGGGGCAAAGTGCAGAGTATGCCCAGCGAAGGGACAATTCCACACATGCCAGCTGCTGCTTGACCTTCAGGATACCACTTAGGCCACAGTTCCCAGTGGCAGCCCTTCTCTCCTGCACAACCAACTTCCTCCTTCCATGGGATCAGCAGACGTAGAGTTCCAGCCCCTTGAGGCAGGCTCAGCCATGTGTGTCTGCCTGTCTCTCTGTGTCCAGTTCTGATTATATGTTTGGGTGGAAAAGTGGACTTGGGCCCCACTTAGCCTTCAGGCATAAACTACAAGGGGCAGTCTGTTCTATCACCAAGCCATGCATCTGGGCGTGGGGAACTTGAGCCTCACTCTGCTATGATCTGACCATAGGGCTCCCTTGGAATCCCGGGGCGGGGGGTTGGGGGGGACCTTGGCAGAGCAGGATTCAGGCTGCAAGATCATCACAACGGCCCCCAGACCTCCCCTCACCCACTGAGGACAGTGTGGGGACGGTAAGGGTCCCAGCACCCAGAGGAGCTGCACCCTCTTCAAATCCTTCCTGAGACTACCCAGAGCTGAGACAAGCCTGGAGGTTCACTGTGGCCATGAACTCTTTTAGCTGCTCACACCTCTCGACTCTGGCTGGCTTTGTGACTTGCTTTAGCCAAAAGAATGAGGCAGAATTGATCATTGATCCTGAGCCTTCCAAAATTAGGTCTTAATGGTCCTTTGCTCACTGAGAGTATTGCCCCCTCCTGGACAAGCCTGGGATAGCGGTCTTGAGAAGGAGAATCCACAGGAGCTCTCCCAGCTGACTTGCCTGCTGCATTGGAAAGAGTTCAGGTTAGACCAGCAGCAACACCTGCCAGCCAGCCCACAGACTCATGAGAAAGAATAAATCACTTTGTTTAGGGGTGGCATTAGGACTCTCATTTTATACACAAGGACATCAAGGCTCAGAGAGATCATGTGACTGACCCAAAGATGCACAGTTACAGTTGCAGTCTCAGTGGAGGTTATGAGAGTCCCCCAGAACCCCGGATCAGGAGTGGCAGCTCAAAGCCCGCAAGGACCACGTGGGTGGGGAGAAACTCAAGGATGTTTCTGCACTCACCAGACTTCAGCTTGGGGAGGTGGTACTGCCACAGGAAGCAGCCAGTCATGAGCACAGCGAGCAGGAAGAAGAAGCTGCAGGAAGCTGGGAAGAGCCACTTCTTTTTAACTTTGAGCTGGCTGAGCCGCCAACCAACCTGGAAGGAAGAGAACATAGAGCACAGCCCCCATGGGGGTCAGCCTGAGAGGGGAGAAAGAGGGGCTCCTACCTGACCCTTCCTGTTAGGTTCACCCAGATACCATGGAAGTCCACAGCTTGGAGTTAATTTCACACCTGTGAAACCAAGGTCCTTCCCGGTATGACCCTTTCAACAGCTCGGCTATGCTTGTACCTCTGCACCTCTGTGCCTTTGCATAGTCTGTTCCTTCTGCTAGGCATGCTTTCTCTCTTCTACATACTTAGTGATATATCTAAGACCAGCTGAAATGCACCTCCACTATGAAACCTTCTGCAATTCTCTTCACCCAGACCCCTTCCAAGGCACTTGGAAAAGCCTCCATCATGGGGCATCAACTCTCTATAGTACACCAGTTGTTCAACTGCTATTAGCCGATCTACCTACTGGAGGCTGCGCTCTCCAAGGAAGGGGCCACTTCTTCACTTCCTTTCTCTCCTCCTTGGCTCCTGGTTTATCCGGGTTTGTTCTGTTCACTGTGGCATTCCCAGTGCCTAGAGTAGTCCCTGGCACATTGCAGGACTTAATAAATATTTGTTGAATGAATAGAGGGATGAAAATAAAACATTCTAGGCAGAGTTGAAGTCTTCTGCATACACTTTGCGATTTAACACTCCTCCGCTTCCCCCCAAATGAAACACCCACTCGGTTCTTGGTGTTTCTCATCATGCATGCTTTTAAATCCTTGGCTGTGTTAATGCATCCACAGAGAGCATGTAGTATTGTTTTGCACATTTTTAATCTTCTATAAATGATACCCTACTGCACTATCCTTCTGCAACTTGCTTTTTTCCCCCAATTTGATACATGTAGTTCTGATTTATTCATTTCAACCTCTGTGGAGTATGCTGCTGTATGAATATATTTCCTAGTGCAATAGAGCCTGGAGTTGGGCCAGCCTGCCTTAAATATGTGACTGTCTTATACACTTGAGGTCGGATCACTGTGCCAGGAGTGAAATTTCTGGGTGGTAACGTATGGCCGTCCTCAGCATAACCAGCTTCTATCCGACGCTCTCCAAAGTCGTTCCAGCTTACCCTCCCACCGCCTGTGATTCTCTTTGCTACTTTTAACTTGTTTTTTCTTGACGACCAAAAAGCTTGAATGCCTTTTCATGTGTTTATTGTATGTATTTGTGTTTGCTTTTCTGTGAATGTATTGTTTGTATTCATTGCCTGTTTTTGTTTTTTTTCTATTCAGTTCTCCTCACTTAAAGTTCTTTATAAGTTCTAGTACTCTTGCTTATGGCTTGTCTTGTCATGTTGTGTTTATGATGACTTTTGTTGAGAGGCAGAATAGTGTAGTGGAGAATCTGTAGCCAGATTGCCTGACTTTGAGTCTCTGTTCAACCACTTCCTGGCTGTGTGGCCTTAAGAAAGTTACTTAACCTCTCTGTGCTTCTGATTCCTCCCCTGTAAAATAGAGATGATAATAGTGTTTGCCTCATAAATTTGTAAAGATTAAATGAATTTATCTGTGTGTGTACATGTACACACACACACACACACACACACACACACACATATATAAAGGACATCTTATCTGACACATTGTAAGACCTATCAGCTATTGTTGAAGAGAGGGCTTTTGTGCTGGTTTTGGTTGTTGCCAGTCAAATTGAGCAACACTGTCTTTTTTGTTTGCTCTGTGTGTATGTCTTGAATATGCTTAAGTTTTACAGAAGTCTTAAATATTGATTTCTATACTTTCACACAAAAATACTTTTCATTATTATGGAGTAAGGAAGGGATTTAATTTTTTTCCATGTAGATAATCAGTCGTTTCAGCACCATTTATTGCACACTCCAAGCTGTCCCCCACCGGCTTCTCTGCCTTCTCTGAAACATACAAGTGTCTGCATGTACTGACACCTGTTTTCCAGGTCCTGTTCCTTTACGGTCTCACTGAGTTTCCGTTCCATCCCTCTCTGTCCAATCGTCCGCTCTTCCACAAGGGTTGTTCACTTCCTATGTGCCAGGCACTGCCCTACAGGAAGCAGTCTGGCCGGGGGCTTTCTGTGGCCTGACCCGACCAACCATTCCTGCCTCTGCTCCTCCCCCTTGCATCTTTTAGGCTCCCACACCCTGCATTGTTCCCCTCTGTGCCTTTGTACCTGCCATTCCCTCTGGCTGTCCTTTTCCACTCAACAAACTTGGTTCCTCCCTCAAAACCCATGGGCAACTGTGAAGTCTTCTCCTCCTCCCCCAGGCAGGTCCCTCCCCTCTCTGCACAGCCCAGCACTGCATTGTAATAGCATCTGCACTGGCTCCTCCTGGCTCCCTTGTCTGGCTCCCTACCAGGCAGCGAGTGTCCCTAGCACTGGAATCATTCCTTCTTGGCTTTTCTGCCTGCAACACCTGGCACTCCACCCGGCACGGGCAGGTTCTCAGGAAATGCATTTCGAACCTTACATTGCCCTGCCAGTTGAATGACTTAGGCTCAAATCTCAGCCCCACATCCTAATTCAGTTGTAACTCTGGACCAGTCCCATCCCCTCTTGGGGCCTCCGTTTCTTCAACTGTTGGAGAGGGCTGGGCTATTTGTAAAGAGTTTACTTGTACATCTGGATATCTCATTTGATTTCCTAAGTGTCTTCCAGCTCTAGAATTTGGGGTTTACACTGAAGCCATTATTTATTCATGATTTCCAAAGATTGGAAACAACCCAGATGTCTTTCAACTGCTGAATGCATAGACAAAGTATGGTACATCCACACAATGGAATACTACTCAGCAAAGTAGAAGAACGAACTACCAATATACACAATGATGTGGATTAATTGCAACTATATTATGCTAAGTGAAATAAGCCAGACTCAGAAGACTACAGACTATATCATTCCATTTTCATAATATTCTGGAAAAGGCGAAATTAAGGGGACAGAATACAACTCAGTCACTGCCTGGGGTAGGGACAGGGTAGACTGGGGTAGGGACAGGGTAGACTGCAAAAGGCAGAGAGGGGTTGAGGAGGTGATGGAAATGTTCTATTTCTTTAAGTGGTGATGGTTATAGGACTGTATGTAGTTGTCAGTATTCATAGAGCTGAACACCAGAAAGAACGGATTTTTTTACACTTAAACGATGCCTTCTTTTTTTTTTTTTTTTTAATGAAGCCATTCAGATGTCTCTACCTGCGTGTCAGAGGAGTGACCCCAGACACAAGACTGTGCCTTGTGAATGGGGCTCTCAGGCATCGTCGCAGGTGTGTACGGAAGGGAAATTTGAAAGCGCTCTCCTTGGAGTGTGAGCAGAGGCCGGCCGGACCTGTGGGGGCACCCTGGTGCAAAGGCTGCCTAGTCTTCACCGGGCACCCATGGCACAGCATTTTCAGGTAAAGAATGAAGTGCAGGCATTAAATGACTCGCTGAGGTCATGGGCAGCAAATGATGGATCTGGGGGCGGAGCTCTGTGCTGTGCACCACCCCACCATCTGCATGGGCTGGGGTCCTGCCCCCCCCCAACTTTCAACTCACCTCTGGGGCCCAGCCTCACCTCACGTCTGTCTCCAGTCTCAGGATTTATTCCAATAGCCCCTACGGTGCAGCCGGTATTTAAACTCTAAGCTGCTCACCAGCTGCTCACATTTTGACTTACAACAACCACTGGGAATCTCTCCCCTCTCCCTTCCCAGCTGGCAAACGCTGGCAGAGGAGGGCTCAGGGAGAGCCAGGCTCTCCCAAACCCCACCCCGGCCACAGCTCCCGCAGCTCCGTCCACACCATTGCTCTCCAGCCCACAGACCCTTGCCTCCTTTCTCCTTCTCACTGCCCACTCAGGGACAGCCCTCCTTGTCCGGTCATGCATCCAGAAACAATCCCGAAGGGCAAGTTGTGTGCTGGGCACAGTGCTGCGCCCTAAGGCTCTGTGTCTTTGGCCAACATCTGTCCCTTGGGGAACCCCCAGGATGGCAGAGCGGTCAGACACAGGTCTCTGGGCCCAGGCAAAGCACAACTTGATTCTGGTTCTACCCTTACCAGCTTTAGACAAATTACTTCACCTCTTTGAGTCTTGGTTTCCTCATCTCCATAATGGGAATGACCTTTGTTCCTACACCCCATAGAATTGAGGTAAGGGTAAATGGGATGACGCAGGCAAAGCCACTAGGAAGCTGCTCACCAGTCGGCAGTTAGTATTGTTACAATTTCCCTGGGAGACAGATGTAAGCAGGTCAGGGGCACAGAGCTCCGCGGGTGGGGCGGGGGGAGGGCAAGCCCCACTGATCGGGGAGTTGGAGATGGGTTGCGGTCACTCCAGTCACAGGTCTGGAGACGTGAAAAGAAAGAGGAACAGTTTCTGGTTGGTTCTGAGAATTCAATGAGTTAACACACATAAAAAACACTTGAACCTTCCTGGCCAGTGATGCACACCCTAGAAATGATGGGATGATGATGAAGGTGCTGTGAGGTGATCTGGGCTAACATGTGAAGCAAGACTATGTGGGGCTGCGCCTCACCCGCCTCTTCATTCTCTCCAAGGCGTGGAAGATTCCAGCTCGTTGACGATTCAAGTCTTCAGCCCAGGAGACACTGTGAGTGGGAAATTCAGTTAGAGGAGGGGAGGCAAAGAGAGATCTCGGAGGGGGCACCGGAAAGAGAAGAAGGGGACAGGGAAGTGCTGGGATGAGAGGGGGGCAAAGCAACCCGCCCTTCACGGAGCTCCACCTCAAAGGCAAGGGGAAGCCAGCTCTGAAAACCCGGGAGGGTGTCCACCTGTCTGGGTCTGCCCAGGTCTGTCCTGACTTAGCACCAAACATCCCAAGTTCCCCTGTCCCAACCGGGAGAGTTGGTTACCTTGTCGGACCCCCAGGATGCTTAGCCCCCAACTCACCCTCTTCTGGAAGGATCAGGAAAGACAGGGCAATTCAGACCCCGCCGCAGCTGGCCCCTGCCTCTCAGAATCCCCGGTGTTCCCGGGACAGAAATGGCTTCTGGGGCTCTGCAGCGCAGGCGC